CTGGACGGTATTGAAATCATTCTCATTTTTTATTGAACACCCGTTAGTAGAAGAAGGCTCAGAAAATAAATAAACCTTGAAAAAAAATTCGCCTAGATTTTTATCAAAATATAAAAATACCAAATTCACGGATTACAAAAATGGTTTCGAGATTATGGGCTTTGACAAGCTTTGAATCTCCTGGGCATCAACATAATATCGTAATTCAACATCTTGGGAAACTACCCTAGATTTTGAGACTCTCAGCATTTTTCGAGAGGGACATTCTTCAAAATAATAAAGTAAATTAAAATTGTGATTAAAAAATTTCGAAAAATCTTGAAATCTCAGTCATTGAAAAATTATGATTACGTAAAATTTTTAAGATACCGGAATAAGACTTTCAAGAGTTTGTAACATTAAGAAAAAAATAATAAAAATAAAGTATTTATCCAGAATGATTTTTGTATCGATTCCTTGGACTCGGTAACTCAAGATCACAGAATTAGATATAAAATTAAGTCCCAAATTTAATTTTAATTCTAATCAAAAGGAACGAACTCAAAAAATTTATGATTGTGCCCCTGTTTGCAACTAGATAATAATTGAATTTATTTCTACAAAAGCTTATTGGGATATCTTAATTTATTATTAAGATGAACTTTATACGTACCTACTATATAAAAGCATTTTCGGTGTTATTTTTTTTCTTAACCATCCAAACTATCCTGTAGTGACAATATAGCTAAATCACCAGGACTCCGGTCTTCCCTATAGAATATGCACAAGCCTGTACATACAATCTAGACTCATCCTTGAAGATTCCATCAAAGAATATAAACGATCTAAACCAATAGAATCACTCATGTACAAAGTACTTAGCAACCAAACATGATTCATGGAGTTTATTTACATCAATTTCGATCCAATTCTTTTGTGTGGGAGACGTTTCAGTTTCTCCGGGCCGTCGTTCAGTTCACTTTTTGAATTTGTTTTGGCATGATTCGATTCCAGAGGACATTTCCCCAGTCGTGGTAAGTCTAGTATGCCATTTAATCGGGACATCTAGTTGATCTGGATAGCTTAAAACATCCAATATTCATATAAATTGTTCCTAAGAAACGCGCATTGACTCCGTGAAATTGTTTGGACGTGGTACGATGCAACGGGAAATGTCCCAATCGTGTTAGTCGTGGTAATTCATTCAACCTGAACACCAAGACGATTGCTTGGATGCTTGGACATTAGGGAGGGACTTGTTGACGTAGGATTACGTCTTTCAGCAACATATTGGGGGTGCACTGCCAAAAAACCAAAATCTACCGCATTACGAAAAGTCGTCATGTTTTGACTACTTATAACTCTATCAATAGCATATGGATTTTAATTTTAAATAAACCAACGATTGGAGATTTTTCAACGAATCTGATAAAATTAACTCTTTATTAATTTCCAATATGTCACCATTGAAAACTACACAAATGTCCAACTGTTGCAAAGGTGATCAAAACTTGTGGTCACAGTCCCCGAATATTGATACCGAGCACGTAATCCTACGTCAAATCTACGGTTGTGTCTTGGATACAACTTCTTACTTTTTTTTAAATCGTTCGGGGACATGTTTTCCCATGTGGAAATGATTAATGGGACTAAAAGATTAGATTTTACAAAAAAAAAAGCTTCTATAAGTAAACACGTGGTTTTGTGACCTTTGACGCTTTATGGGCAAAATTTTTGTACATTTTATGATGTCTTCACTCTTTTATGATATACATACGCTTAAATTACACGTACATTCTGCTCGACAACCGTGAAAAAATAATTTTCCATTATGCCAATTGGAAGTCGAGGTAAAAATGTCACCGTTTAATACGTGAGACATTTCTTGCCGACTTGGGCCTCGATATGCACACAGGTGTGTGTGCATGTAAAAAGGAGATTCGAAACTCGCCGCATTTTCTCAATCGCGAGGGAACACAAATCTGTGTTTCCTATGTAAAATGGAGCGGATGTATTTCTATCCCAAGCGGAAGGATCGAAACCAACCAGTACAACAACGAACGGAAGAAGAAAATCAACAACGGAATGAGGCACCATTACGTACACTGGTGTAAAGACTAGAGGTGCATCGCCAAACGAGGAAACGGTTGAGGTCCTGGAAGAAGAGGTGGTGGTGATGGATGTGACGTCGGACGCCTAGAAAATAAGTGTAGAAGAAGCAAACGCTGTAGAGAAACATCAGCCGCCTGTTTTGAAGTGCAAAAATGATATGTATTAGGGCTTAGATCTAATTTTGGGCCTACTAAGAACAACCTGCTCTTTACCTTTATTTTCAGAGCGGATTTTTTTTCACAAAATAAAATGTTTTTGCTGCAGATGACTGGTTAATGTTTTTACCTTTCCGTACGTACCGTAATATTTGATGAAGAGTAACTAATTGTTGAAATAATGATAAAAATTTAACACTGCTTCTTGACCCCAAACTCGGTCTACGGATTTTAAATTTGGCCTAACACATTAAAACGCCATTGAATCGGCAATTTACTTCGGCCTATCGGAAGAAGATAAAAATTGATTCGTTCAGAGCACTTCTTTTGGTTTTGAGAATGGGTGCAAACATTCATATTACACGTTCTTATTGACTTCGTTCGGTAGCTTTTGAACTTAGCTTTTGAACGTACCAAATGCATAATTGACTTGTTAACACCGAAATCACGGATTTATTTGATTTTTTCTTCTCGATAGGCACAAAATCGGCGATTAGGCCGAAGTCGTTCTTTACCCTACTACTACAAATTCGGGATAGTGGACTATACCGAGAAGGAGGAAATAACAGACGAAGGGGATGCCAAGCAGCGGGCGCTGCTGATGGAACAACAATTGGAAGGAGCAAGGAAGTTAAGGGCACGGATGAAAGTGGAAGCTAAACTGAGTTCGCCGCCAAGGAAGAGTAAGAAGAACTCATAATTAACTAATGTCCCTGATTAATATCTTCACTAGCGTGCACAGGAATCTTGTTAAGGAGGGGCAGTTTTTTTTTTCTATTGTGCATTTAATCTGGGGATGGGGAGTACTCCAAAGTGCGTGGGAGATGGTGCTGTCCAGCCACCACTGTTTCCCTACTGTTTAATTTAGCTAATTTTATTTATTTTTTGCTCCGGTGGTGGTTTTTCTTCTTCAATGCAAACTGCGGAAATTGGCAATTTAATCGCATCGACGATGATGAACCGTCCCAAAGTACCGTCAGTCGAGGTGACAGAAAATGATGCCGAACATTCAACATGTTTTAAAGATGATATAAAAGACAAACCCGAATTTATTGCAACGCACATAAACAGCTGTATCTTTTTAACCACGGTAAAAAAATGACTTGAAATGTTCAGAGAAGATTCTTAGGCGAATTTTTAGTAAGACAACAATAGACCAAGGTTCAATGGCAAACTAATACCCACTTTTTAATTAGGAAATCCAAAAGCTGTCTTTAAACTTTGTACAGTTGCGAAAAAGTCCATCTTCAGAATTCCATGAGATTCTTTTGAAATTATTCTCAGAAGTCCACTGGAATTATATTTAGAACTCTTCTTTAAATTATCATCGGAAATCGCTTGAAATGTTGCTTAAAATTGGATTACACTCAAAATTGGATTTTCTTGGTATTCTTTTAGAAATTTTCTTGGAACTATCTGTAAAATGCACCAAAAAATATCCATGAGATTCTTCTTGGAATATGTTAGAACTTTTTTTTCTCAGAACACCTTGAAACTGAAATTCCCTAAAGTTTCAGAAGAACTTCCTCTGCATTTTGCAGAAAGTTTTCCCAGAATGAGCTTGAAATTATCCTAGGAACTCCATTGAAATTTTTCTCAACATTTCTTTGAAATTTTATTCAAAATTTGATTCTCTCGGTATTCTTTTCGAAATTATCTTGGAAATATCTGCAGGATTCACTAGAAATTATTCGCAGAATTTTCATGGAATCATCCCCAGAAATCTTTTCTTTAAGAACCTCCTCAGAATTCAATACCCTTGAGGTTCTTATCGGAAATCAAGTTTAAGTTGTCCGCTCATTCACCAAATCGTTGTAGTTTTCTACCATAAATGTTCAACAAAGCTTGCCCCTCCATTCACCAGAACTGTGAAATTTTTACATCAGGCCTCTCCATGCAGCAGATTGTTGCAAATCTTACATCAGAAATTTTCAATACAAACTTGCCACCAGAAAATTTCAATTGATCAGAACTATGCAAATTTACCACCGTTAATGTTCAATACAAATTGCTTCTCCAATCTTCTGATTGGTGCAGATTTTCTTTTTCCAGATTTTGCATCATTAATTTTCAGTAAAGCAGCTTCCCTCCAATCATCAGAATGGTGCAAATTTTACACCAGAAATTATTATTAAAGTTTGTTTCTCTATTCAGCACAAGAATGCAAATTTGAGACCAAAATTTTTCGAAAAAGATTGCCCATCCGTTCACCAGAATGGTGCAGATTTTCCACCAGAATTTTTCAATATAGCTTAATTTTAAATAAAGCTTGTGCCTTCATTTACCAAAACAGTGCAAGTTTTTCACCAGAAATCTTCCATTTATTTCATTTATCAGAGCGATGCAAATTTTGCACCAGAAATTTTCAATAAAGCATGCTCCTCCATTCACCAGAACGGTGCACCAAAAATTGTCAGTGAAGTTTGTTTCACAATGCACCTTTGTGGTGCAATTTTCAGGCTTTGCCTCTTCATGCACCAGAATGCTGCAAATTTTCCACTATAAGTTTTCAATGAAGCTTGCATTCATCAGAACGATGCAAATTATGCACCAGAAAAATGAATAAACCTTGCTACTACATTCACCACAGTGTAGCGAACTTACCACCAGATATTTTCAATTAAATGTGCACCTCCAAATTTTTAGCGTGATTCATTTTTTGCAATTTTTGATTTTGATTAGCCCTCTATGATGATATTTTTACACCAGAAATATTCAATACAAAGCTTTTTCTTCGATCTACCATCACGAAGGTGATTTGTTCATCCTTAAATTTACACTTGAAAAAAAAACAGCCTTGAAAAAAAATTACACCAGCAATTTTTTGTATGCACCACTGTGTTGTAACCAAAAAATTTCATTGAAGTTTGTCCCTTCATGCACCTTTGTGGTGCAATTTTCAGGGACCATCTCAAAGGAATTGACGCAATAAAAAGTTTTCAGTGCTCTTTTTTATGAAATGAAGTTATTTTACCTTCAAATCAAGTTATCAATAAATCAAGTTATTTTATATCATAATTTTGTAAATGTGGAAATAAAAATCCCCTGTGCACGCCAGTGAATATCTGATTGTAATTATGAAATTATTTAATAGTTCTCGGGTCCCTGCAGTCCTGTTGGACATTTGAGCCTAACAATTAAACTAATTGAAAAAAAAACAGTCATAGAGTCATGGTTCGTATGTTTGCATCCGTCGAATCCGCTTTCGATTTTGAGATGTCCACGTCTCTATTTGTGAATAGAGGAATCTGAGATCACCGTTCAAGATTTACTCAACCCCATTCGTTAACCTGCTGCATCTACTCGCATCGCCAATGATACAACTTGTTGTGATGTGTCGCAGTCTTATTGGAAGGAACCTAAAGAAAATTAAATTGAAAATAAATCCATGATTACCTGGACCCAGTTCCACTCGAACTTACACATACAGCTTGATTACAAGTCTGACCAGGAAGGATCCCAAAATGATTTCCCGTTTGTTCTGTAGGATTCCTTTCACTACGATGCTAGCTGCTTGTTCCGGGTACATTGTTTCCATAAGAACGCTAGAAGAGATGAAGGGATTTTTTAGTTACATTGAAACATTAAACAATGATGGTTATTGGATTGCACCCCATATCTTTGGCAGTTTTCATTAGATCCTTCCTAGTAGCAATCAGACTAGGATAAACACATGTAGCGAACACTTTTTCATCTTGACCATTAAAATACAACTCCTCATTCAACGACTCCATCATTCCTCTAACTCCAAACTTCGTAGCACAATAGGAATTAGTTCTGAAGGTTCCATAGAATCCTATAATGAAGGGGAGTTTTATGAATTAAAAATTACTTGTCGATCATTTTCCCAGCGTACCGAGAATCGAGCTGATTCCGACAATATGGCCACTGTTTCTTTCAATCATTGCTGGTTTGAATTCACGAATCATCTGGGATGCAAAGTAAGCATTAGCACTACAAAACGATCAAATTCCTAACGGATCTTACCCAATAATGTGACGTTAGATTAACGTCAATGATTCGCCGTACGGCTTCATCTGAACCGTCGGAAATTTTCGCATCAACAAGTAGCCCTGCATTGTTAACCAAAATATCCACATAGCCGAGTTTAAGTTCCACTTCTTTCCTGAGCTGACGCACTGATTTCAAATCGCTCACATCCACATAGAACGCCACGGCCTGCATGCCCAGTTTTCGGATCTCCGACGCGGTTCTGATTGCACCCTTCTCATCGATGTCAGCTACTGCAACCTTACACCCTTCCTGAGCGAGACTCAGACAAAGAGCTCTGCCGAAGCCATTTCCTCCTCCACTCACTAGAGCCACGCATCCACTGATGGACTTTTTCGGGGCCCAAATGTAGGCGTGGATAAAATCTTTGACGAAACTTGGAATATTCAACACCACTTGCAGGAGCACCTTGGAAACTACCTCGAACCAACTGAAGGGGAGAAAATCGCCTTCATCAGCTGCAACGTAGGCACCATCTTTGTGTGTGTAGTAAACGTCTGATCCGATCGACATCGTTCCTAGCAATGAGAATAAACTGCATTTAAGAGACATAATCGCAGCTAGGCGAGTAAGTGACTTTATCTCTAGCAAGGCTTAAAGGTTGGATTGGGTCATCAGGGTTGAACCCAGAGCTTCACTGCAATGGAAATGATGGGCTGAAATTGTTTTCAATTACAAAATTCGTTGCGTTTAAAAGCTTAAGGTGACTTATGTGTGACAAGCTATATAGGATGTTCAATAAATGCATTTTAATTCATCACACATGGAATATTGGGACGCCCCGATACTGAAATCAGTAAAGGCGTAGCGCACCTTCCAGAGTTATTAATTGAACGCTTTCATCTGACTTGCTTCGTTGCCATTTTGAAGAGTTTTTTTTGTGAGATATAGCTCCACCTTCTTCAACGGTGATTTTAACCAATTCCGTAGACCTTTGTGGTTCAATGATGTGATGTCAAGCATGTGATATAAAATTAAAAATTCTGAACCTCAGTTTTTTTCCACTCAGAATGTTTACTTCTAGATTGTCTTTTTACTGATTCTCCTGGTTTTGATCATTTAGTTAAAGATCAATGCCAGGAATATCCAATCATGACTTAATAATTGCTTTGTGAATTGTTTGCTCATGAGAAAGAAAGGCAAGGCTATTGGTACCGTGAAACTATTTCGATGTTGATAGTGTCTTCAAGTTTTTAACAGTATAAATTAGACTGATTTTTGCCGTTTGGATAATCCAGAAATGCTAACGAGGATGCTCAACAATCATGTTATGGGGCTTCATGAACGATATTTTCGTTTGAAATTTAGAAAGCTCCGTTAAAATCTGTGGTTTAATCAAACAAGCGAGTCTGAAATAAAGTCAATACCAAATGCAAATGCACGATTGCGGATTTTCGGTTAAACTTTCGTGATTGGTCATGGATCGAGTGATGTGTGTTTGACGGGTATCGGGGACACTCCCGAGTCCCTTTGAATCTCGAAAGGGGCTACGGCAAGGTGATGTACTTACGTAACTGCTATTCAACATCGCGTTAGAAGGTGTGATAAGAAGAGCTGGGACAGACGCGAGCGCCACGATCTTCAAGGAAGTCCATCAAGCTACATGGCTTCGCCGATGACAACATCATGGCACGGCACATTGAGATGATGACGCAAATGTACATCAGACTGAAGGCTGAAGCTATGCGGATTGGACTTGCCATCAACGCATCGAAGACGAAATACATGAGAGGAAAAGGTTCTAGGGAAAACAATGATAGCCTCCCACTCCGAGTTAGATTGACTGCGACGAAATCGAGGGGGTCGTTCTTGTATTTGGGCTCACTGGTGATCGCCGAAAATGATACCAGCAGAGAAATTCAAAGACGCATTATGGTGGACGCTCCGGTCGAATGAAATATTCGGATTATCTAAGGCTGTTACGCACGACTCGCAAGCTGCGAGATTTTGAACACTGAATACGCTTCCTGTCTCAAGAACGAGTGGCTTAAGTGCCACCTCCGAAGAAGACCACTCGTCAAGGTTTGATTTTCCCGGCATGAAACCCAACCTCAGGACGGGTTCATGTTTGGCATTTATGTATCATGTATATATAATTTTCTAAAATTCTTGCTGTGCACTTTACCTTGAGCACACAGAATAAATGCACTATTCTTAACATTCTGAGTGTTAAACTAAAAATAGTTTTGAGATCCTAAACCCATATGTTTTCAAGATTTTGTAACTAAAAAATATGTATCTTTGATACAAATTGTAAGTGTAAACTCGAATACAACTGTAAATAAAAGTTGACAAAATTAGATGAATTGTCAAAATTCTAAGACTCAGATAAAATTGCAAGATCTTTTCTAGATAGTAATTTGGTACATGAATATTAAAAACCAATGAAAACAGAATTTTAATAATTATAATATGTTTGACCCAATCAAAGTCTCAAAAACACCACAAAATAAATATGCCTGAAACAAATTTCGACGAAATTTTGTTCAAAATAAATTTTAGGGATTAAAAAAAGGTTTTGATATCATAGGCTATGACAACTTTTGAATCTCCTGGACTACAAAGTTTTTATTCAAGATCTTGGGGAAACTTACCTAGATTCTGAAGCTTCCAGCATTTCACGACAGGAAAATTCTTCGAGATAAGAAAGTAAGAAAAAATTAAGATATACAAATTTCGAAGAATCTTGAAGTCTAAGTTCTAATTTCATCAGGTTTTAAGATACCGGATTTAGAATGTCATGATTCTGATATTTGAACAGGAAAGAAAGCAATAAAGCATTTATCCAGAACAACTTTTTCGATGCATCGGACTTACTAACATTCGGAGTTATATGTAAATTCAAGATTTAACTTTAATTCCAATCGAAAGTAATGTACTCGAAACTTGAATGATTGTGTTCTTGTTTGTAACTTGATAGTAATTGATTTTTTTTTGGTCGCTGTTCTTTCGTTGACTTCTGTCACTTTTTCAAATATTTTTGCATTTTTTTTTATAAATATCTAAAGCTATACAGTAGGAAATTAGTGCCTTTGAATAGAACTTTTGATGTGTGCTGCTGCGAAAAAAGCATCTACAAGCAAGAGGAGGAGGACGATGGCGACCATAATGTCTTAAGACAGGATCTATAGACACATAATTTGGTGAGATCTTTTCATATTATTTTACTGAAAATGAATATTCCCAATCGTGCTTAACATCATGCTTTATTAAATACGCGCTGAATGCAAAGCATTGATCTGAACCTGAAAGTGTGCTTGCAGTTCCATTAGCCATGTGATATCGGAACTGTGGACATGTTGAGCTTATGGCTTCTGAAAGTGACTTCGGAATTGGTATGAATTATCAAACATTTTAAACTGGGTTTCTGGATCAACAGTAGAACTAGCACCTTCTAATTCCCGGACTAAAGCTGCTTTCAGTTATCTCTAATATGATAATTTCAAGTATATTTCTTCCATAATACCACTAGCAAGAAATGTTGCATACAATATTTTGAATGTTAACTTGTATGCTACATGACGCTCCTTTTGTATGCATCATATTGATAGAAATTCACATTACTTTTTTCAACTGTGTAGGCTAAGAACCATTTTCAACTAACTTGGCCAAATTCGAGAACGGTTACTCTCAAGGAAATGATCAAAATGTGTTTTGAAATAAAATTCAGCATGAGACATTTTTATTGCATTACACTTAATTCTGTAACAGTGTAACAAGTGTAATGCAACATATTTCAAAACATAAAAAAAAAACCAAGAATAATATGATGGAATTAAAAAATGTGTACCCATCCTGCATAAGGGCAAAATAAAAAATAAAATAGCGTAAAAACATAATTGAATGTTATTTGATTACAATTTAATTACCGATGGTCATAGCTTACTTCGATGCCACGCTTGTATTTGTGTCAAATCTTTTTTTTTTTTTCATTAGACTTGATATTAAAAAAAAACATAATTTTGACTAACTTTCGAAAGCTTCCGAAACATAGGGATGAGATTTTTGAAAAGCTGATAAAGATTCCTTTATGCCAAATTGGAAGAAAAAATTATCTGTTTTTATACATCATCTGAAAGAGCTTTGTTTTCTGAGCACAACGATATAATTTTTTCGATCCCACAGACTTTTATCTCAAGTTTTAAATCAAGATTTAATGCACTCAACTATTAAATTGACAGCCCACCAAAGGGCACTAAGATGGTGATTTTTGCGAATGTAATCGCTCTATTTAAAATTGTTAGAAGACACGGTTTTTCGAAGGTGCCGTCAACGCCAATTGAATTAGGGTTCGAGCACCGGAATGATGATTCGCGGTAGTTGTAGAAAGGCTCTTCGCAATGCGCCGTGGTATGAGAGGTCTCTTTTGTTCCCCCGTTGTTTGGTCGTTTGATCGGTCTTTGTCATGAAGCAAGATCTAAACTCCATTGATGATGATGATATTAAACTTCTTCCGGTTGCTCTGCTACAGTCAACTCTCCATAACTCTATGATCCCTTCGATATCAATGTATAAATTTCATATTTATATATGAAATTTAATAAATTCATGTTGATCTTCGTCAAGCTTCGTCCACAATTTTGACTTCCACATCAACACATGTCAAGCAGCTAAACTTGATGAGTTCGTTCCATTTGGTAAATATTTATCTTTTCAAACCAGTAACGTTGGAAGATCACCTTTTTGTGGTGCGTTACTGGTATAAGATCTACCACCGAACCCTAGCCGTGACAAATTCAAACTAGGGAATCAGGATTTTTAATTATCAAAGGATAATATTTTATTCCTTGTTACTTTTTTATGACTAGTGACAAGACTTGGGTAGTGACCACCGCCGTTATAAATTTCTATATTGTATATTTCAAATCAAAAATATTGTTTATGTTCATAAATTTTACATAATCCTTTTTCCTTTGTACTTCTCCTTTTCCTTTCCCTCTTCTCTTTTCAGAAAGCGAGTAATGGCGCTATAGCCATTAGTCATAAAAGGCTAGGACAAGAGTTAGTGCTCATATCCCAACCGTCAGAAGAAAATGGAGCATCACTTAACCTTTCTAGCTTTGATGCCTCCAACGGCCAACCAATCATATAATTACCAAAATCGGAACGTACGGTACGAGATGTCCACGTTTCATCCATTTATTGGATTCTGAAGCATCGTGTTTAAGTCTTCGATTTAAACAGGCCTTATGTTTTCTGAATCATCTTGCCCCTTAAATGCTGCACAGTAGGCCTGGCCGTTTTGATATGTGTGACGCATCTTCGATGTGAAACATATATCAAATAGACAAGAAAAATGATGTAGGTATATATATCATTTTCCAGGATGCTTTCAAGAACTGGCTTTGTTGGTGTTAGATTAGATTAGATTAGATTAGATTAGATTTTATAGTAATTGAATTTATTTTTACAAAAGCATTGTGATATTTTTTTCATTTAAATTGAAATTAGTTTTGGTTCAACCCGTTTGGTAGCAATTTATTATTTACACGTACTTTATACGGGTTAGAGCT